TCATTCTTGCATGGAGAGCCCCTGCCAGGTCTGAGGGTTGATTGCTCCCTAACCTGCTTTGAACACAGATGAAAGCTGAGAGTGGAGGCATAATCTGCTTCACATACATGGCCCCTGAAGCAGGAAATGAGAGACCTCTTGCTCATGGCCACATCTTACCTGTAAAATAGACATGTTCTCTAATCACATCTGTATATGCCATTTCTGCCTTTCTACCTGCAACACCCTATACTGCCAGTTTAGAATGCCTTTCCCCAAATTTTGTCTATCTAAATTGGGCTTTCCCTTTGAATTTACATGTCACCACCTCTAGAAAGGAGTCCTGGTGTGGCACTGTGGGCTAATGTGTCAGACTGCAAAGTCGTTTGAACTGCAAAATCGGTGGTTCAAGCTCACCAGCTGCTCCTTGGAACCCCTAGGGGTTGGAATCGACTCAATGGCACTTAACAACAACCGCCTCTGGAAAGCCTTCTATGAGTGCTCTGAGCCAAAAGCAGCATTTCCTTCCTCTGGCCTCCAGCAGTATCTAAGACATTGGGTCTCAGTTTCTCCATCTGTAAGATGGGAGTGTAGGGACTAAGTGAAATGATTCACATAAAGCCCCAGCACAGGCCCAGCACATAGTCCCAAGCGCAGTAAATGACAGCTGTTCATTATGATGTGGTTTCCTGTCCTCCTCCTGTTCCTCTCCCCAAGCTCCCTCTGCTGTGGCACAAAATACGCATCCTCTGAATACTAACCCAGTTGACCAGCAGGTGGCCCCACGCCCCAATTAACCCCGCTCAATTGCTCTGAGTCCCCAGAGTCACCCACTACATTCTGGTCAGGGGAAATGGAGAAAGGAAGTCCTGGGTAGCCCAGCACATGACCTAACAGACACTTATGTCTCACTGGTGACAGATGTCTTTGGGCTTAACTGTCTCTACCCCCTTTTCAACCCTAACCCTGCCCCACCATTGGCAGTATTACTCCCATTTTAACTGGTAAGAAAACTAAGATTTGATCTACCTGAGATTACAGACCATTGCTTACAATCTATCATCCATCAAGGATCTGGCCCTGATTGTTGTTGTTGATGTTATCAAGTGCCGTCAAGTAGATTCCAACCCATAGAGACCCTGTATAGGGTTTCCGAGGAGCAGCTGGTGAGCTTGAACACCGACCTTGCAGTCCCTTATCAACGCCTTATTTCACCGATAGAGAACCTCAGAAAAGGGAACATTCTTGCTCAAGGCCTCCTATGAACTGAAGCTCAAGTTTCCTAGCTCTAAACTACCCAACTGACACACAGGGTGGAAGATAAAATTCCTAGACCTTTCCTTGCCTGGCAGCCACAATGGTTCCAAGATGTTGGCTGCCAAGCCAGACAAGGAAAAGAATTTGACCCTGCTAGGCTTGGGGGCAAGGAGCTCTGGTAGCATAGTGGTTATGAATCAGGCTGTGAACTGAAAGGTCAGTAGTTCGAAACTACCAGCTGTTCCGTGGGAGAAAGATGAGGCTTTCTGCTCCTGTAAAGATTACAGCCTCAGAAACCCTGTACAGGATCGCTATGAGTCGGAACCGACTCCAAGGCACATAACAACAACAGCAGGCTTGGGGGAAGCTATGAGGACCCACCAGGAATGCACAGGCTCAGCCAAGGCAATCAGGGCCAAAGACAGCCAGCCTGGGCCTCGCCCCTTCCCATGTCTGCCAGAGATAAAGAGTTTCAGGCAGGTCTGAAAGCGCTTAGACCCCTGTAGACGCTGCAGCAGGCCACATTTTGAGACTTAACTCTGACACTGCAGTGAAGGGATTGGTGTGGCATAGTAATGAGCCAGGCTGCTGGAAGTCAGCCAGTACCAAGTTCACAGGACACAAGGGTCAGGAGGAGCACCACAAACTGCACACTCACACATGCACATGCATGGACTGCATACACCTCTCAAAGATTCTTTACTGACAGCTCCTGGGGAAGCCACCATGGAGCCTGTAGAAATGCTGACGTCCTTGAACAGGCTGATGTGAATGTGTTGCCACTTGGCTTAGCTCACCTGATTCTAGCTCCTTGTCAAGTATTTGCTTCCATTTTACAGAGAGCCACACTGAGGCAAAAAGAAGACTGTGACTTAGCCAGCTTGTGAGAGCTGCATCTAATTCCAAACTCTGATTTGGGCTTGTGTCTGGGCCAAGTTCTTTATGGGCTCTTGGAAGTGGACAAGAAAACATGGGAGATAAAGAGGGTAATCCTTTTATCCTTTCCTCTGCTAAATGCCTTTGCTGCCTATTCTTATGCCCTAATCACAGAGGGGGGTATGCCCCTTCCCCTCTACACCCACACCTTCACCCCTCATCCCCCCACTAGCAAGAGCAACAGGCCAAGTTTGACCAATCAGAATTCTTCCCTGGGACTGACATGCAGACAGCTCAGCAGATCCCTCCTGGCTGGGACTGCTGCAGTCATGAATTTGTACATCAAGAAGACCTGTGCAGGTAGATGCTCAAGGTCAACCACAGAGAGAAGCACAGATGAGCAGAGCTGAGGGACAGGTGGAGCCCTGCCAGGCACTCTTCCTAGCCACAAAAAACAAAATCAAATCCATTGCATTAATTCCCCCCTTGGCTTATGCTGCCCATGACACTCTTCCTTCTTCAGACCCCATCAAGGTCACAGTTCAACAAGTTTTTGTGATGTTTTGTCCTCCCTCATAAATGTAAACTCTCTGAGGTGAAGGCACTGTCTGAAGTTTTTACTGCTACTTTCCTTGCACTCTGCATGGGCCTGGGGCACAATAGGTGCTTGATAGACAAATGAGAGAGTCCTCTGCAACTATGTGGCTAGACAGACTTTTGGTGAAAAGCAAGTACTCTACAGGGGTTGACCTGGACGACAGGCCCTATGGAGCCCCCAGAATTCATCTGGGGAGCTCAAGGGACTCTCAAAGGGGTAGGCTGCCCTCCTTAATACCCAAAACTGGAACTGGGGCCCAGTCCTGTAAAAAGTCTGAGAGGTAGAAATGAAACTGAGTAGCTTCTTCCTTGGACAATTCTAGGTACTTCTCTCTTTCTTGATGATTAAGGGTGCTTGGGTGGCTAATAGGCGCTGTGCATGAGCATGCCCCATATGCCCCACTAAGCACTTCACACACATCCTTCTGCCCAAATACTCAGATGACTCCCTAAAATGGACACTGTTATGATCCTCACTACATAGTTGAGGAAACTGAGACCAGATTGGGAAAGGGGTGGGAAGCTGTGGTTAGAGAATGAGACTTGCCCAAGGTCACCAGGCTAGGAAGCAGCAGAACTTCACAGGAGTGCCCAGCCTGTCTCTCCCCCACCCCACCCCCACCATCTTGGCACCTTCCTCCAGGCCTTAAAGGAAAGTGGGGAGGAGAGGGAGTGCCTCCATTGCCAGATGAGCCTTTGGAAGACTGGGAGGTTTTGAGAGAGGAGCTGGGAGGGAAAATGCCATAGTCATGTCCCCCCTTGAGGCTGCCCGCAAGCGTTCCTGAGGGCTGAGGGTGCTCTGTTGCTGGAGTAGTCAAAAGACAGTCTTCCAGCGTCCCACCCCCACCCCTCCCCGACATTCTCCCTGCCAAATGAAATCTGGCAGCTTCTGAAAATAGCTCCACGCTGCAGCAGGCGCTCCGCCCGCCCTTCAGCAGGCTGGCACGCAGCTGGGGGTGGCCGCTGTGGGTAGATGCTAGTGCACAGGGGGCTGAGGGAGGGTGTCACACAGTGCATGGGGGTGGGTACAGAGCTCAGGGCATGTTGCAGCTGCCATTCTGCAGCTCCTCTGACCTTTCCGTGCTTGTGGAGACTCCTGCGACCATAGAGTCAGTCTGATATGTTTATCAGGCCTCAGGCACCTTCTCCTGTGGGGTAAAATCAGTAGTGAGTGTGAGCAGCTGCCCTTGGGCTACCTTTGTCCACCCATTTAAGACAAAGAGAAACCCAGAAACCAGGGAGAAATGCCAAAATGGTGTTTATTATTGTCCAGATAGAAATGCCAAAATGGTGTTTATTATTGTCCAGCAGTGTTGTCCTATCTGGCATAGTTTGGAGTTTCCCAGTCAGTGAGAGGCCAGGAAGCAGGCGGGTGTCAGGCACTTATCAGGCACTTGGCTGCCCTGAAAAGGGTGGGGCTGCATAAACCCAGATGGTACCTCTGCCCCAACTCAGCCTGAGCCAGGACCAGACCTTCTAAGCACTTCTCAGCAGCCCTCCACCATCTCATGTCTGGTCAGGAGTGTACAAGAGTCCTGTGATTAACCGGGAGCCTCTTGCCACTACCCCTAGGCACCCACAGTCATAAACATTCCCACAACAGTGTACCGACAGACAGCCCCTGTCATTTCCCTCATGTGGATGTACAAGAGGGGCTTGCCTGCCTGGGAGCTGGCAAGTAGGTAGGGGCAGGGGGACTGTACTGGATTCTGTCACAGTGGCATTTTCCAAAATAGAAAAAGGTTAAAAGCATCCCGCATTCTCAGCTGAGATGAGACTACCCTTTGGACAGGGAGTAGTGATACAATAGCTGGGTCCAGGGACTCCATGGAGGGAGACCTCTGAGGGCTATCTGGGAGGAGAGAGCAGCACGGCAAGGCTGGACCACTCAAGGAGGCATATAGTCTGGACCCCAAAGTCTCAGGGAGACTGAAGAGGAACTAGCCTAAGAGCGGCAACCTAATGTGAGAGACAGCAGTCTCCAAAGAAGGCAGGAATCGACCTTTGATTGCACCTTCGTCCTCCTTCCTTCACTCACTCAGCATTCACAGACAGCAACACTATCCCCAGTCACCATGGCAACCAGAGGCCGGATGCCTTTCCCAAGGCCAGGCTGGCCTGCCCATTCCTGGGCGGGCGGGTGTCTCCATGGAATAAGGGAGGTCCAGCCACAACTCCTAGTGGCCTTGAAGAATAAGGCCCAAGGTGGGACAGAGTCAAGGTGCCACTGAGACCACTCTACCCAAAAGCACTGCAACTGCAGCAGGAGGCTCCCCAGCCCCTGGCCTGTAGCCCCTCCCTAGGACCTGGGCTAGGGTGGGACTAGAGCTCTGAAAGAGGTTTGGACCAGGGCCCCCATCTTTAAGTTCCAAGTGAAAAATTAAAACACAACAAAATAATCCTTTTGTTAAAAAATAAAAAATAACCCTGGGCTCTTTTCACCAGGGCCTCAGCACACTCCAGCCTGGCTCTTCCATGATTCCAGGAGCTACTGGTTGTTGCAGCCTTGCAAGGCTGAGGAGCTGCCTGCCTGTTTTTTTCTCCGCTTGTTAAGGAGTCGGTTGTTAGAGGTCTTCAGGTCCTTGATCTTCACCTGGTCATAGTCCACACGCATGGTGGCCAGGGCACTGGTCATTTCCTCCTGGGGACCAACATGGGGCTCAGAGATCAGGGTGTAATGAGCTCAAGAGTCATCACTCTCCTACCCGGGCAGTTCCTTAATAACATCAGTGATTACAACAACTTGTACTGCCCAAGTACCCACTATGCTCAGCACAGGGCCCAACCCTATGTATCCACAAAATCCTCGTAACAGTCCTTTGTTGTGGGCTTATCCACCAAGGCACAGGGAGGAGAATGATCCCTGGAATCACACAGATGGTACATCATTCTGGGACCTGGAGACACCATCATGCTGGGAAATCATGGCACATGGAGCCTGAAGCTCTGAGCTGCTGCCCCATATGCTCAAACTCAGCCCCTGCTGAGTCTAAATCCAGGCTGACCACCCTCCCAAGGAAGGGTTATGGCTAAAGCTTGGGGTCAAAGCACCGTAACTGAGTCCCTGGCCCAAAGTCTCCTTTCATTGAGGGAATGAGCCAGGAGCACCATTCTGACAGTGTGACCCTGTGATTTGAGAGCTGTGGTTGGGCGCTGAGCAGCCACTGCCTTGGAGTCTCTCTTCCAAAAGCCCTGGAACTTATGGGGAGACTGAGGCAGGGCCCACCCACCTTGACTTCATCCCAATGATCTTTGTCCTCCTGCAACACTCGGGCTGTGTGGAGTGGGGTCTGTGGCACCACCATCAATTGCTGGAAAGAGTCCCAAGCCCAAAGATTAGAACTTAGTGACTGAAGTCAACACTGGTTCTCCTTCCTTCCACCCACAAATGAAAAACCAAGGGTCAGGAAGGTGAAGGAGTCTGACTAGGACAGTGGGAGAGCCAGTGGGGTGCTACTACACTTATGTACACATGAACCCAGTCTAGCCCCATGCCAGGATCTCCAGGTATGGGCAATAATTCCCTGGCAACCCCACTCCAGTTCCCCACCCTGACCGCCACAGGAAAGAAGGCACTCACATTGATCCAAGGATGGTTCATGAACTGTGTGATGGTCAACCTCTCTGTGGGGTCTGTCTTCAGCAGAAGGCGAATCAGCTGCTTGGCTACGGAGGACAAGGAGGAGAGGGGAAAAATGAAGTTGCAGGGTTCCACAAAGCTGGTTCCCCCACTCTCTCCACAGACCACAGCTCTGTGGGAATATGGGCGGCATGTGTTTTACCGCACTACCGTATCCCCTGTGCCCAGCACATAACTGAATAACTGGGAGTGAGTAGGGAAGTGTTTAGGCAGACATCAGAGAAGAATCCCAGGGTGGGTGAAGTATGTGATAGTTGACTGGTTGTCATGGGAAAGGAGAGTTGTAGCTGCCAGTCTCTAGGATAGTCCCTGTGATAGTTAAGGCTTTGTGTCAACTTGGCTGGGCCAGAATTCTCAGTGGTTTAGCAGTTAAGATGCAGTTATCACCTCCATGATGAAATCTAACCCCATGGTATGATTTGATGGGATAAGCCCTGATCTTTTGTAATTATCCTATATTGTAAATCCTCATTTCTATGATGTTAATGAGATCAGATGCAATCTACAGGATTAGGTTGTATTTTGAGTTAATCTCTTTTGAGATATAAAAGAACTGAGCAGTGAGCAGAGCTCAGAGGGACCTACTACCTACTACCACTAAATAGAAATGCCAGAAATGGAGTGCATTGTTTGGGCCTACAGTTCCTGCACTGTAAACCTCCTAGATCTAGGAGAAGATTGATGTCAAGACGTACAGAGACCACTAAGGAATACTGGGCCTACCGATGCTGAAAGGAGACCACTTTTTCCCAGAGTTGACAAAGAGAAAGCCTTCCCCCTAGAGCCAGGACTCTGAATTTGGACTTCTAGCTTCCTAAACTGGGAGGAAAAAATTTCTGGTTGTTAAAGTCATCCACTTGTGGCATTTTTGTTATAGCAACACTATATAACTAAGACAGTCCCTAAAGATTCCCAGTTCCTGGTATTCAGACTTTTGTGTAATCCCATTCACGTGACATTTGGGTTGGTTTATGAGCAACAGAGTATGGCAGAAGAGATGTCACATTCCTCCTTGTTCTCCTTGGATTGCAGGCTCTGGAGGAAGCTAGTTGCCATGTTGTAAGGACACTCAAGCAGCCTACTGGGACATGAGAGTGAGCTGCCTTGGCAGGGAATGCTGTAGCCACTTTGAAAATCTGCAGGGACTGCTACACTAGCCAGCACCTTGACTGAAACGTCACAAGATACTGTAAGCCAGAAACACCCAGCTAAGCTGCTCCCAAATTCCTGACACACAGAAACAGTGAGCTAATAGTTGTTTTAAGTCACTATATGTTTGGAGTAACTTGTTAAGCAGCAATAGACAACTAATGTGGTGCAGACTTATTTGTGATCTCCAGAGGGGAAGATATGAGTGACAGGTGGGAGATAGAAGGGGTTCTGAGGAGGTGTGTTTTGAATTTTGGCAGATATAGAAACTAAGGCTCAAAAAAAGTTAGATGACTTGCCTAGAATCACACAACTAAGAAGTGGGGGAGCCAAGAATTGAACACAGGTCAATTTGACTCCAAAGTGGTTTCTTCCAGAGTGACAACCGAGGAAGGTGGATGGGGTGGGCTGGGGCAGAGATTCACTCACCATCCTCAGAGACATCCGACCATTCAGGGTTAGGGAAGCCGTACTGACCCAGGCGGATCCTCCTCTTCATCCCAGGGGAGATGGCCTGGCCCGTGTTGGAGTAGAAGGGTGGGAAGCCACATAGGCTAAAGGAAGTGGAGGTCGTTTGGTACAGAGTTGGGAAATAGTGCTAGGGCAAACCCATTCTCCTCCCTAAGTTGTTAGCTAAGGAGACAGACAAATGGATATCCTGGCAATAATAGCAGCTCTTGGAACTCCTGGGAATATCCAGGGAATGCCATCTGCCCCTGGCAGGGGAGACCCTTCATAGATCGCCTGAAAGTGGGGGAAGGGTGTCCCATGCCAAGAAAAGAAGGGTAGGCAAAATGAGGAGTGGCCTACTCAAACCCCTCATCAAGGACATGTGGGGGCAGAAGTGATACTGAGGGTACTGGGGCAGAGAGGGGAGGAGTAATGGGTGTGGCACTCACAGAATGTACATGATGACGCCCAGGGACCACATGTCGCACGACTTGTCATACTTCTCTGGACCCAAGACCTCAGGGGCTGCCAGAGCATAGGGCAGAGAAAGAAAGCCTCTCAGTCTCAAGGGTCCTGGAGCCCAAGTAGGAACCTGAAGCTTGGGCAAGGTAGGAAACAGGTGCCTGTCTGGGGGATGGGGCTGAGCAGACTGGCGTCTGGCACCTTCTGGGAATGCAGCATGTGTGTGAAGTTGGGGAGAAAAAACAGTTCCCGCAAAAATGAACCCACTTTGAGGCAGGGTGGTAAGGAGTAACAGCCTCCTAGCTCCTTTGGACCCTGAACTCCTCTTATAGTCTCAACCTTATTGTGGGAAGAACAGGGAACCACTCAGGGTAAGGTAGGGTCCTATCAGAGGTGACAGGGCAGCAGCCCATCAGGTGCCCCACCCTTGCCTCCCTGGGTCATAGGAATGGAGGGGCAGAGGGCAGGGCTCTGAATTCCATGACCAAGCCACAAGCCCTTGCTTGGTCTTCCCATCTATGCAATGAGCTGGGCAGTCCCGAAGACTTCTAAGTTAAAATACTGCAAAATATATCCAGACAAGTAAGATACCATCTCAACTGCCTTAGGAGGCTTAGTGCCCCATAAGCAGTCTTGAGGAAAGGCTTTTCTTAAGGGAAAAGAGTCCTCTATAAAGCAAGTCATTGCCCCTGTCCAACCTCCCCCCAGGTAATGGGCATGTTCAGCAGAGATTTTTCCAGATCTAAAGCCTGCCTACTCACAGGGGAGCAGGGAACTTTTTCAGGAAGCATGAGTATGTATATATGTCCAGACCCCACCTATGCCCTGGTCTATGGGACCCTCTTCCACAGGGGAGGTGGCTGGTGCCCTGTGTCTCTCTGGTGTAGGAGGAAAGGCCTGCCCACATCCTGAATATGAATCCTAGGAAGATAAAAGCCAGAGAAAAACAACCGCAGTTGGGCTCCGTCCAAGCTGATGGCAGCCTTTTATCACGTATATATTTAGAGTTACTGTGATGTCATTCAGCTCACAGGCCACAGCCAGAATTTTCCTGGATCTATTTTCAAAAGCAGAAGCTGAAGTTTGGAAGAATATTTTTGCAGCCTCCAGCCCCCTACGTCACCCACCTCCATGCAGAAAGAACTCCCTCCCCTCTCTTTGCTGGGCTTTAACCCTTTGGATTCTGCAGCCCACTGGGTGTCCCATACCACAATGGTGTAGAATGAGGGTAGAAGAATACAAACCAAGGACTCACCCACATAATAGGGAGTGTAGCAGGGTGTCTGCAGGGCATTCTGGGTGGTTTCTTTGGCAAAGCCAAAGTCTGTGAGCTTGAGCACCGAGTCTTTCTCCTTAGATGTGTAAAGCAGGTTTTCAGGCTAGGCCAAGAAGAGGAAATACTGGTTCAAAGTGAGGCACAGATTGGAAGCGGAGGCCCAAGCTGTCTTCAGCTGGGCTTCTCTGCCACCGAAGGAGCAGGTCTACCTTATAAAAAGACCTGGCCTTTCATTGGCTGCCAACAATGTGGGTCAAATGTAGAGAAGACCAAAGTGGCTGGAGGGTGACATCCCATTCACAGAGGGGAAAGTGAGGCAGGTGTTCAGCCAAGGCTGTGAATGATCAAGTGCCACAGAGAGAGCACAGAGGTAGAATATTTTGATTCGGAGTTCATAAAGCTCCCATGAAATACCAGAATGAGGGTTCTGGGAGAAAGCCAACTGCTCAAGAGTCAGTGTTGACAAGTACATGTCCTATACCCACTCCTAGGATCCACACAAGGAGGTTCTTCCTGGTTGCAGAACATAGAGAGAACTAGGGAATGAGAGTAGTTGGGAGGGCTGCATTGAGGAGGCAGTGATGGAGCTAGCTTTTAATGACTGGGAATGACCTAGAACAATGGAGAGGAACAGAAGGGACCCCAAGCAGAGCTGGGGCAATAGTACAGTGTTAAAGAGAGCTCTGGTTTAGAGCCAGTGGAAGGTATTTCTCAGGTTCTGCTTGAGATGACCTTAACTTGGATTGGAAGGAAGACAGGGAAGCAGGTTTAGTCTATACAAGGGTCTCTCTGAAGAGGGGGTTCTCCCCTTGGGGAAAAAAAAGCTAAGGTAAAGCAAGGGTTCCAAAGGCGAGTCTGTCTGGTATTAAAGAATAACTGTATGGGTTAGCAGTACTTAGCTAGAGGAAGAGCCTGATGCAGCAGCTGGGCCCCAGCTCTCCTCTGCTCAGATCTCAAGAGGAAAGAAGCTAATATAGTTGATATTCCTGAGGGCCCAGGAAGAACAGATTCAGCTCTGAAGGTAGCCCACACATATGTATGTGTGTTTATGTGTATATATGTGTGCATATTTATGCATGTGTGCACCTGTATATGTGTGTGTGTATGGGAGGGGGCTATCTCAGTTTGCATTTTACCCATCTGATTCTGATGACCCTCTAAGGATCATTCTGCCAGCATATGATATTTAGAGAGCTGAGCCACCAGAACATTCAGCAAGCTCATCCACTAAAAAGGAAATCAAACTCAGCAACTGGAATTGCTTCTGTTCTTTCCCCCAGTGTCCAGTAAGTGGATTCTTTCCCTATTAATTCCAGCATTAGGGGGCCTCGTCTGTCGGAACTATGGCTGTTACTTCATAGGAACCTCATGAGTGTCAGACAGCCCCTTCCTGAGTCCTGACACAGTGCATGTACGCAAAAACCCTTGATGAAAGAATGAATGAGTCTCCATGTAGTGTCTTACTAGCTGCACAGCCTTTGGCAAATCATTTAATCTCTCTTCAGTAATTCATCTGTAAAATGGATAATGGCACCTAGCTCACAGGGCTGGGTAAAGTTTAAGTGAGATGCTTGTGAGGGCCTATTGGCTGGTAACAGGCACTCAGTTACTCTTTCGGGACTACATTATATTTGAAGGAGACCCACTTGGCTAGAACAGAATGAATACACTGAAGCAAGACAGAGGAAAGTGGTAGTGGTCTGAGCCAGGAGGCAGAGGCCTTGGATCCCAACCAAGGCACTTAACCTCCATCCAGTGGGTGCTGGGAGCTATCGAGGGTTTTGGAGTGGGATGGTGCCTCCTCCTCTGGTCCTCCAACCTGGGTACCAGAGTCTTACCTTTACATCCCGGTGGGCAATATTCTGACTATGCAGGAACTGGATGGCAGTACCAATATCCCGCATGATCTCTGCAGCCTCTGAAGACATGAGGTGAGGAGGGGTCAGTGAAACCAGGCAGAATCAGGGAGTCTGACAGGACGCTTCTATCATCCTGCCTAGGCACATTCTTGTGGGCCAACACAAAATGGTGGCAGTATTCCTGCCATCCAGGACTCCATCCCAGATATCCATCCCAGTCACCTAGTTGCCTTCAGGCTTGCCTCCAGCCCACCTGACCTCCTTCCTCAGACCTGGGCTAACTCTCCCCCAGCTCAATTGTTGGTTAGCATCAAAGTCTTTGCAGCCTCTATCCCAAGGCCATGAGAGTCCATCTGTGACAGTGTTGTAGACACACAGAAACCCTAGAGGAGATGGATACCTATCATACCTTTTCTTGTTCCAGTGGGGAGATACAGTAACTCTGGTCCAAACATCTCATCCCAAATTTCCTCCTGATCCAACTGTACACACATACCTCTCTCAGTGAAAGCCTGATCACCACGCTCCTGAATCCTGCTGAACAGCTCACCACCTTCCATGCTGCAAGGGAAGGTGATGGTAAATGAGCAGGATGGGGAGACGTCAGGCATCCCTGGGAAAAACCCACAGTCACCTTCCCTGCATCTTGCAGAACCTGGTACATGGTGGACCCTTAGCTTAGAACTGAGGGAGGGTGGATGGGCTAAGGTCCCCTCCAGAGAGCACCTGGGGAGTCCCATCCTATATTGATCTCAGCTTCCCTCAAAATGGAATGAAATGTCAATCATCAACATCATAACTCCTACTCTCTGAGCACCTACTGTGTGCCACACCTTGGGCTCAGCACTTCTGCACTGTTGTGTGACTCTAAGCTTATCCCTTCCCCTCTCTGTGACTCAGCTTCCTCTTCTATAAAATGGGGATAATAGCACCAAGCTCACGGAGTTGTGTAGACTGGAGAAGTGATGCATACAGAACATTTAGGATGAAGTCAAGCACAGAGTAAGCATAACATGAAGACCCTCCACATGTTGCACATGTGTTATACTTGGAGAGGTCAGCAGCTGATCCAGGTCACATAACTAGAGTGACAGAGCCAGGATATCTGAACCCCAAATTAAACTCAAGAGCTAGCTAACATCTGTATATGTGGGGACTTCAAAAGGTTTGTGGAAAAAATCCATTATCTGTCAATTCCGTTTTTTCATGAACTTTTTGAAATCCCTTCAAGGAAGAGCTGGGGACTCAGGCCCAAGACCCAGGATCTAAGGATAACTGGAATTGAGAATCATTGTACTAGTGACAATACCCAGGGTGGAGGAGGCCACTGGCTCCTGGCTCCAGCCTGAGCCTCCAATCACCCAACATCTAGCAATGCCACAGGAGTACAGACCCAAACAGGAAGGAGCAAATTGAGGACTGTATGTCCCTTGCTCATACCTAAATCTCCCCATCCTCCACATTAAGAGCCTGGCCTTCCATCATTGCTCTTCCAGCCCCTCTTGACTAATTGGAAACCACATCCTGGGAGGCCATATTAGAACTCCTTAAAGGAATGTCCTTGTGGCCGGACCTACAACCCCAAGCAGAAATTGAGTCACTTCCTCCACTACCTCAGGGGCTGGGGTGGCACCCAGAGTTGCTATCTCAAGAACAGAAGTTCCCTAGAAGAATGCTGGGAGCCTGGGGCAGGGTGGGATGGCTTACCATTCCATGACGATGAGGAGGCAGCGCTTGCTGTGATGCATGTTCTCATACACGTCCAGAATACGCACAATGTGGGGGCCGCCCGAGGCCTGCCAGTGGTGGTCCACTTCCTGCCGGGCCTTGGGGCTGTCATACAGGAGCTATGGTAGGGTGGGCACAGAGAACATCAAGCCCACAGGGCCACTGCCTTTGCTTTGCAGATAAAGATGCAGAAGCTTAGACAGGCTGTGACTTGCTCAAGGTCACACAGCTTATGAGGGCCAGAATGAGCATTTAAATGCAGGTTCTATAATTTTATGGCCCAAGAAACCCTGGGCTGAAACAGCTTGGCTGAGCTCAGGGAGGCCCTGGTAGGTGGCTGACAGTCTAGAAGGGCTCAGAATCAAAGAAGACCCTGCCTCTCTTTGAGGGGGAACAGTAAGTAAAATGGAAATTGAGTGGGTTTTAGAGTCAAATCACACATTGGCTGTGGGATGCCCCCAGCCAGGAAATACATCCTTTGAGTCTCTGTTTCCTAATCTTTACAACAACATAACATGGTTATGGCCAATATTGGAAGTCGTGTGCATAAAGTACACAGGATGGTACCTGGTACATAGTAGGTCCTCTGCACCTCTCCTGTGATCCTCATCCAGCACCTCTATATGAAACAAAGTGGAGGGCACCTGAATAGGTAGGGGAGGGGGAGGATGTGCTTATGTGGCACTCTGTCACATAGAGGTCCCAATGTGACCAGAGAGCTGGATCATCAGGGAAGATTTCCTGCAGGAGGGGCTGAAGACTGCTGGGCCTGCCACCCTGTGCCCCTCAGGTCATCCCTCACCAGCTCAGAGCTTCAAAGGACCCGGTCTAGAGTGGACAGAATCCAGGTCACACTCCTGAAGGAGTGAATGTAATGAAGACTTCAGCTTCTCTAAGATCAAGTGCAGGAATGAAACTGCTGCTGTTGAGAAAAGCGCTTCTAAAATGAGTTGCTTGGTCATGACCTCTTGTGAGGCCCAGCTTCCAAGACAACTTCACAGCTTTCTTGGGAGCCACTGTGCAAGACTGGACTAGCAATGCCATGCTCACTGCCAAAGAGGTGGCGCTGCCTCAAGGTGACCCATCTTCCCAGACTCAGCCTGCCTCCCATGCCTGCAGACCCGGGCATGCAGGATATGGCAGTATCTAGGAGTAGTGGCAGGATCGATGGACCCAAGCGTGGAAACAGTAGTGAGGTTGGCGCAGGATTGGGCAGTGTTTCGTTCTGCTGTGCATAAGGTCGCTATGAGTCAGTATCAACTCGATGGCACCTAACAACAACAAGGAGTAGAGAGGACCCTGGTCTAAAGGAAATGCTAACCAGGCCATGTGAGATCTAGGTTTGGAACTGTATTACTCTGATGACTCAGTGAAACCTCAGGCTGTCCACCCAATGCCCACACACATTTTATTTCCCAAGTGAGAGTGCTGAAGACTGAGGTTGATCGTCAAGCCTTGGGCTCTGATTAGCCCTATCTTCTCAGCACCCACAGGGCCTTGGGCTGCCTCTGACCTGAGGTTTCCTCCTCTATAGGATGTGGACAGAGCCGAGCCTCTTCACACAATGTGCTGTGTGGGTCAGACTCTGGGACCAATGTCTCCAAGCAAAGGTGAACTGGATGGTGTCCAAGGGAGAAGAGAAGAAACTGTGACTTCTCTATGTCTGCTGTCCCCAGCTGTTCCTCCATCTGAGGCTGCTTGCCTTGGTTCTAGCCTAGTAGTTTGCGAATGCCAGGAGCCAGGGGCCAGGCCAGTCCCTCCACCAGCTCTGACGCAAGTCCCTGCTCCTTACTCAGTCCATGATGGGGGTGTGTGTAGAAGCTGCTATGAACAAACACTCCCCACTTGAATACCATGGATCCCTTGCTCATGCTTCCCTTGCCTCCCAGAATACCCTTCACTTTCATGCCCACACATCACTCCATCATCACCAGCTGCTTGTTCCACAATGCTAGGTGGGGCAGAAGGTTCAGTCACCCCCACTCAGCCCACCCCCACTGTGCCTAGGCAGCTGCAGCCAGGGGTTCCCAATCCTTTGCCCATAAGACTCAAGATACCCTTTCCTCCTTCCCTGCTCTGCCTTCTTTGCATCCCTTTGCTGGTTTGTCTCCTGACTCTCTCCTCACCAGCCTGACTTGACCATCTCCTATCAGGGCCCCATTGTGGTTCCTGGAACCCTTCCATACACTGCAGCCCCTGATGTCTCACCACATGCTAGCATCTTCTTTCTTACCTCATAAAAGCCTAAGCCTGTGGCCAGATTGTTTCAGCGGGGTACTCAGTCCACCTCTCCTCCTCTGGATCTTACCCATGTGTGACCACTAATCACCTCCCTACTCTCCTCCAGAGAAAGGACACCTTCACCCCTGGACTGGAGGCCTGCCTTCTCTCTTACTTCATTCCCCATTATCTTTGATCCCCAAAACCTTTCCATTCTGGCCTGAATGATCTACTTGCTATTCCCAAGCAGGCTTCATTTTTTCCAAAACTATCTGTCAAGGCCTGTGTTGGTCACTCTAAGGTACTCTGGCCCCAAATCTCTGGGTTCTGTTCAGATGTCTCCTCTCTGGAAAGTCCTCCAGCACCTCCACCAAGGCAGCTTTCCAATTCTGTCCCTCCCACCAGGTTGGGGGTAATGTAAGGCCCTGGAGGCCAGGTCAGGTTAAGCTGGGGGTCCCTGGTTAGTGCCTACCATAAAACATTGGTCTTCTGAACAAAGGATGAGAGGAATAGCACAGGGTCCAAGGAGAGGAGGTGTGAGAGAGAGAGGAAGAGGGAGGGAGGTGGGTAGCCAAGGAGGGGCAAGAGAGCCTATAGCCTCGGGCTGAACCTTGTGCTTTGTTGAGGCGGCAGAGCCTTGGAGCTGCCCTGAGTTGGAGCTTCTTGAGAGGTAGCTACCCCACTCACCCTTTATTTAGGAACCCATTTCCCACACAGATTAAAATAGTCCTTCCCTAAGTGCCAAGGCCCTGAAAATAGGAAGACAGGCAGGGAGAGGGCTGGCTCCAGAAACCACAATAAATGTGCCCCCTGGCCTGCCTGCAGGGGAGACCACAGGAACCAGAGCTTAGCTAAGGAGCAGGACCTTCAGCCTGCCCTGGCCTAGTAGCCAAGGAAATGCCCTGAGCCCTCACCCTGTCTCCTCAGGTTGAACTTGGATATAGCTCCAAAGCTCTCAGAGTCTGTTTCCTCCTCTTACTTTGCAATGGCCAGTAGAAGCTGCTATGAGCAAACACTCCAGGACTTCCCTCAGTGTCTCCTCCTCTCAAACCCTCCCAGACCATCCTGTCTAAACTGGACCTCAGGGGTCCCTCAGTCTCTCTCCTGCTTTATTTTTCTTTCTTTACATACATACTTTGTTTATTGAGGTATAATATACAGACTGTAAAATGCACAGGTCTCAAGTCCAGCTCAATGAATTTTGACAACTGCACCCACCCATGTGACAACCTGCACCCCATCAAGAAAGAGAACATTCCAGCTCCCCCTAAAAGCTCCCTCGTCATCTCCCTTTTTACCTCCTTAGCAGTACTTGCTTACAACCTGCAATTAGCTTGTTCCTTTGATAACTCTTAAAACAAATACATACGCATAGTTACTGCACTTACAGTGAGTGTGCCTGGCTCTATTCTCAGCACTTTAAAAATATTGGGACAAAACTGAGGCACAGAGAGGGAAAGTAAGTGGCTCAGACCACATAGCTGTTCTCCAGCAAGGTCAGTGTCATGCTGTCGCTTTTATCAGACTGTAGGTCCACCACATGGTCAAGTAGACCTGGTCACTGCTGGGTCCCAGTGCCTACACAGGGCCCTGCACATAGCACTGGCTTAGGTGATATTTGTAGATTGAGTGGATTAATTTTAAAGTGGGGTGATGAGAAGAATGTCCCCCAAGTCATCATGAGGACAAACTAAGGTTAATGGAAGAGACCGCACAGAGGGTCAACAAACAGGAGATAGGAAAACCTAGCCAAACTTGCTCCCCACTGCAGAGGGAAGAGACTGCACCTTATACCCTCTCTCTCTGAACCAGATGGTAACTCCTTTTCTAGGGAGCCCATTCTGACTGCTCCAGACATGAGGTTACTGCTACAAACTGGCCTCACTCACATAGGTACATGACACCATACTTTGTTCTCTGAGCATGAGCCCCATCTTCCCAGGCGTGAGAACGAGCACAGGATCAGGAGGCAGGGAGGCTCAGATGCTAACTTCATTCTCAGAATGACCATGGGTCAGTCTCTTTGCTTTTTTGCTTCCCAAAGGTTAAGTTTCAGGTCTTGGGCTAGGTGGGGGCAGGCATGTAATAGGGACCTCTCGAAAGGGACTCCTTGCTTCTAGCCCTACTCTCAAATTTCCTCCCTGCATAGAGCAGTCCCTGGGTCCCCATGAAGCTGTATCTGCATGCCTGAACTCACTGGGGCCACTTGGAATAGGCAATAGCGTCTCAGTCCCCAGTCACAGCTAAGAGGATAAATAGATGGAGGGCCTCTGCCAACGCAGCAGACCCCCACCCTACCCTTGCCTTAGTCCCATCTGGACCCTCTAGGGTCCACTAAAGCGGAAGAGTCTGTGATGTCACTTAGGCAGCTCCAAGGCTCCAGGTTGTGCCTGACAGGTATCATACATCCATGGTGGGAGGGAGCCCCCAGCTATACTTGAGGTGTGGGCCCCAAGTGAAGCTTAACAAACATGGAATTTAAGATTATATTTCCTTGAGCAAATGATACTTCTTTGGCCTCAGGCTTTGATGGGGTGGTTTCCATCTTTCCTTTCTCCCCTCAATCCCCCTTATCAAATTCCCTCACTGGCATTGAGCTGGTAACTGGATGGTCAGGGATCTGACATCACCAGCCAGTAAACCCCAGCAAAGGCTGCGGGTGGAGAGGCCTGCAAGCCCCACCATTCCAGACATATGCTTGGGTAGACTGGAGGACTCAGATAGAGCCAGACCCCCTCACAACCTCCATGCTGTGTCCCTTCTGTCCCAGCCTTGTCCCTCCAGTGTGAACCCAAAGTCAGGGGTTCTACATAGGTGGAGAGATCTCCATTTCAAAGATGAGAATACAACTGCAGCATTTGCCTGTTTGGAAAACAATTTGCTGTTTACAAAACACTCA